AACAAGCGCAAATTTAAATGACAATTGGAGGGCTAAAAACTGGGTGAGTAAACCTTTCATTATTTAATGTATTTGTCGATTATTGTTGCCTATTAATTGTTCACTTATAGAAATAAATGCTTCCGCTACCATTTGTAAATGTTCGTAAATGTTTTTAATCGCCATCGAAGTGGAAACATTAAATTTGCAAGCCCTCGGACAAATGACAACATGATTTCCCATATTCGTTGTAATGTGTCGGGGTGGGGACACAACCACAGTATATACAGCATAGTATATAGAGTAATAAACCTTTTTGAGTACTCCTCGGTGGTAAAGTCTGATCAGGGTTGATAATGAGAAGGAGCATGAATTTGGCTAATTCAGAGATGCATACAAAATTACTGGGGTATGAAAGAGAGCTACAACCGTACTAAGGCAGAGTGGCACAGGTTATTTTGTAAACAAACACTTTTCTTATCATTTTAAAAAGATAATTGCTATTTATTTTCCAATATTCAGATATCCAGCTTGTAGCCAGAGGCAGTGGCTTGTGAGGTTCACTAAAATCTACTCATCATATTGGAACAGCTCCGGGTTATGGACCATTGAATGTGTTGGCTGAACTTATGACCGCCATAACCGACGCACTCTCCAACCAAATGCGCTTCCTGAATTTATACGGTAGCAATTCATAGCAATTGCTATTGTATGTGTGTATTATTCATATTTGTGATATTCTATACTTTGATCTTAAGTATCTTTGAGGAGTTTCGCTCAAACTTGGGTGTGCTTAGTGAGCTGTCTGGGCGAATGCGCTAGCAGGCATTGGAGTCTCTATAACTAAACAAACCTTGTTTTTTTTTGGAATAAAGATTTAAATATATTTGTAAATTTAGAGTTTTCTTTGATAAATACACATAATTCACGTTTTTTAATAAAAAAATACGATGTGAGTTGCCAGTTTATAGAAACACAAGCGTTAATTATGTCTCGAGAAGACCTTTTTCTAATCATGAGGCGAAATTCCCTCCAGTAAGTGTTGCCGTGCGCGCAAAACGAAAGCGCTGCACACAACCCAAAAGTAGTCCTCGGCGACCAAATGATGAAAAACTGCGAAAAGGTGTATTACTGTATATACTGTGTTTATCAGCAAAGTCCTAACGGAAGCGTCAACGGATTAATTGTGTTGCATGCCGCGTTGACCGTCGCTTTGCTGTTTTGCAAATTTTGTAGCGATTATTGTAAATAGACGTTGCAAAAGAAGCAGCATTGATATGCTAAATAGTTTCATGTCACACAATTCGGGATGGTATTTGGGATATCTATTTTTTGTTAAATAGTACAAAAAAATGTGGACAATTTCTCAGGAAACAAATTGGGACGAATTAAAATATATTATTTCGAATGCTGATGGTGTTGATTGTCGAGATGCCTTGATACAAATCAAAGATGCCGTCATTGGTAGTAACAAACAGAAGGGTGCACTCATCTCACACGAACTGGTCCCTGTCATACTCAAGACTTGTATTGACCAAGATCAAAGCCCAGACCGGAAAATGGATGCACTCGTAATCTTAGGTGAGCCTTACACTACTCAAATAAACGCCGCAAACGCCCAAGAAATTCTGCGAGCGGATGTGTACATGCTTTTGAACGTATGTTTGTATGTGCAATAGCGCTGTCGCAAATTATATACATATATGCGCGTCTATAACAATAATACGGGATGAAGCCGCTGCTGAGTCATGATATATACTTCCTTGGCCAATATTGGCTGGAATTTCGCGTGAATATGCATACATACATATGCACATAGATCACTAAGAGATGATCCTATCATTGAGAGCCGGTAGTTTTGAGTAGCATAATATATTTGTAAAAAAGCCGGCTAAAACTTTGAATTTAATTTTTTCAATTTGTTATCGTCCATTATATTTTCTATAAAATAACACGCTTGCATTTATATTTATTATAAGTTTATTTGCATCCTCCCCGCAGGTTCGTTGGCGAAAGGATCAGAGGAGCAAGTTGAAATGCTGGTCAAACAATATAATGTCGTACCATATTTGCTGAAGGAAATTGTTTCCAAGAATAATAGTAAAAAATGTGTTGAAATATGTCTGAGCACGTTGCGGTCAATATTTGAGCATCCCTGCGCTCCAAAGGAAAACTTCCTTGCTGATACGGATGTGTTGAAGCACTTTTTGCGTGAGTTAGGCTCTAAAATTTTTTATTTTAAATGGTAAACTATTTTTATAACTCAAATCTTTTAGGATTAGCTTCAGCCAACAGTTCATTAAAAACACAAATATGCATAACAAGCATACTTGTATCCGCATGTCAGACAAATGAGGATCAACTGCGATTGCTACAAGCTGGAACTTTGCATATACTATCTCGAATGATTTGTTATGACAATGAAGATATACAAATACCAGCGCTGCGCTGCTTATCCTGCATGTGCTATTCGAATCGATCGGTAGCGGACAATATTTGTGTTATTAGGTAAAATATCGCTCAACAAACATACATATTTGTACTATATATAATCTTGTTTACTTCCCTAGTTTTCAAGGCAGATCATTACCCGATATCCTGAATTCGCTTATGTCGAGACTATTTTGCCCAGAAATACAATTGTCTGCGGCTAGATGCTTAACATATGTTTACAGGTCGGGTACGTTGCCATCCACAGACAACAGAATATCTCAAAAAGCGCTTCCCACCTTAGCCCGCTTATGTGCCGAAAGTTTTGATCATTCAATTCGAGCTTCTGCTTCGGAAACGCTTGCATATCTCATAGAGGTGGTATTACAACTTGTAAAAAGTAAAAAATAATGCATAACATTTTTTTCTCTAATTTAGATTGACTCCGACCTGCAACGAACAGCGGCCATAACAAATCATTTGCTGAAGTCACTATCTGATTTACTGCAAAGTCAAGACCCCTCAGTTAAACAAGCTGCGCTCTGTTGTTTTGCGTCATTAGGTGCAAATGATGAGGCGATCCGAAAGCGGCTAATGGATACTTTCGGGCTGATCAATGCTATATTGAATGGTTTGAAGGATGACAACTCACAGGTGAGCGGTTTTGCGTAACCGAACATTTCTTTGCCACATTTATCATGCACATACCCAAAAAACTTATCATATTTCTTGCGTTATAGGTCAAACTAGCAGCGATTAGATGTCTACATTCGCTTTCAAGATCTGTTCAACAGCTGCGTACCACATTTCAAGTATGAAAATAGAAGATATTTTATTAAAATCCCGTATTTGTGTAATATTTATGCGTTTAAACAATTTTCTAGGATTACACAATTTGGGAACCACTGATGGACATATTTGCAACCGAAACGTCTCTTGAATATCTGGTTGCTGTAACTTCTACCATTTGCAATCTACTATTAGAATTTTCACCATCCAAGGAGCCCATTATTAATGCTGGAATTATTGACCGATTGTGCCAATACACTATGCATGAAGATCCCTCCCTAAGATTAAATAGCATATGGGCTTTAATGAATATGTCGTTTCAGTCTGAGCTGTATGTTAAAACCGATGTTATCAATACTCTTGGAACAAAGCGAATTTTGGAGTTGTTGAATGATCCTGACACTAGGATTGTGATGAAATCATTAGGGCTGTTAAGAAATCTATTGAGTAAAACTCACCATGTTGAAGTTATTATGGGTACACACTCGTCTCAAGTGCTCGAAGCTTTAAATAAGTTACTAGAATCCAAACATTCGGCGGAGGTCAAAGAGCAAGTGTTCTGTATTATTGGCAATATAGCCGCTGAAGCTGAGAATGGAGATTATATTATAATGGATAAGAAAATAATGGGACACTTGGCTGGATTTTGGGTATGGTATTAATTTTGAGCCAAGTTAAAAAAAAAACTAAACATTTAAATCTATACGAATTACAGTTCTATCTCGATAGAAAACTTCAAGCGGGCGCGCTCTTTGCTATCTATAATCTTGTGCACCGAAAGGACTTGTGGTCAATGGAAAAGTATTCTCGTCTAAGTGAATTGAATATCATTAAACATATTTATGCATTAAATAAGAAAACTATACGGGAGGAACCACAATGTGAAGACTATATAAGCAGAACTTTAAAGCAAATTGTTATACAATGTAAACATTTCTACCCGGAGATTTTGCAGTAAATACTAAAAAAAAATATATACACTATAATGTACATATGATTAATTGTATTATTACAACGATAGTTTTCTGTTTTCATACAGTTTTTGTTGTTGAAATATACTGTAGCGTTTTGAACGTAAGTTGTTTTGATAATTAAAAACGCAAAAAAAAACACCGTAGACAAAAAAAAATCAAAACACGAAACAATGGGCCGGATATACTAAAACTGTGTTTTTAGTTTTTCACTCTGAAGTCAGGATTTTTTAAAGGACTTAAATTTTAATAATATGACTAATTCGAAAAATTACTTAAAAGAATCAGTAGAATTTACAATAACAATATGGGTACCAAATGAAAGAGAAAATTAATTATTAAATTAAAGTTTTTAAATTTTATTTTTTTAAGTTAATAAAGTTAAGAGGACGAAATTCGAAGATGTAGTCGTGGGCTTGTTCGAGTTTCAATCACAACCGCAGTGTTGCGTGAATAATTAAAGTATCACGTTCTGTGTGAATTTATAGCAAAGTATTTTCAGTTGGGCTGTTGCAACAATGTTCCATTTTTCATCAGTACGGCAGTAATGCCGCTTTTATTACGTGCCTCGAATAGGCCCCGTGTGTATATTAGTCCTTCATATATAAGGATATTCAAGGATAAAATTT